GTGCGGGCCCGGGGGTCGACTTTTGGACCGATTTTTTTTGGATTTTGTTAAAGATTGAGACATTATGATCCACAATAGTTTCTGATATGTTTTATTTGTGCTTTGAAGTTAATTTGGTTAGATTTTAGCCGTCCAGAGGTCTTTTCACCCGAGAAGTGCATCTTAGAGTATCGGTTTGTCGTCTTTGAGGTAAGTATCTTGCCTAACCTTGTGTGGGGAACTTTCCCTTAGGATTTGAGTCTTCTATGTAGATTGTAGTTCGTGTACGCGAGGTGACGAGCGCGTGCTCGGACTTATTTGTGGAAAATTTGCCTTTTAGGGTTCTTAGGTCTTTATATTCACTGTGTAGGAATGTGTTCTTGACATGGCTGAATTTTCTATTTACTAGTTTCACCTCTACATGCTTAATTGGAATTAATTGCTTCATGATTCACTCTTCTTGCCTAATCGACTCCTATTTGACTTAACTGAAGACTTTCGCTTCTCCTATTGTCATGCTATCTTTTCATAGCTACTTGTCTTAATTGGGAATTTATCATGGCCTCCTCCTATAATTTTTTAGTCTTAAGTGAAGCTATGATCATCTTTCTTTAATTGAATTGTCGGATATTCTCGTATTTGTTCGACCTTAAAAAGAGCTTAAATAATCTATATCTTTGTTGACTTGCCTTTATTTGGATTATTTGACTCGTGTTGATTCCCTTGTTATTGACTTGTGTAATTGTGGGATCGTTGCTACATGTTAGTTTTCTCCTTGTGAACTGTTCCCTTTATGCCAGCATTCTTTTCTGTGGTTATTCCTTGTGAGCTAGTCCTACCGTTTCATCGTGATTTACAGTTCTTGAGTTGACTTACTTGCTATACCTTGTATTATTGTCATTGTTGTTGTTGTACGTGTTGTGGTGATGTACGAGTTTTCTGCCGTGTTGTATTTGTGTTCTCTTTGGTTGCGCTGCATATTTACTTTGGGACTACGGAACAGTATTCCGGGACATCCCCCTGCACATTTATGTTTGGGGCCGGTCGTTTTGAGAATTTAAGCTCCGTTCTGCGGCGTAAGGTCTTGAACAACTTGATATTATGTGTATCGACTTGCGTGCAGGTTGAATTTAGTTACCGGATGGTTCGGAGTTGATTTGGGAGAAGGAATCTAGTTTTGGAAGCTTAAGCGGTGAGAATTTGACCGGAATTGGACTTTGGAGTAAACGGAACCGAAATGGGTTTTCGGTGATCTCGACAGCTTCGTATGGTGATTTTGGACTTAGGCGCGCGTCCGAATTCAGAGTTGGAGGTATGTAGCGTAATTTGAGGCATTTCCGCGAAAGTTGGAAAAGTTGAAGTTTGGAAAATGGGTTTGACCCATAGTTGACTTTTGTGATATCGAGGTCGGAATGCGATTCCGAGAGTTGGAGCAGCTCCGTTATATCATTTTGGATTTGTCTGCAAAATTTGGCGTCATTTCGGATTGATTTGATAGGTTTCGGCGCGAGTTTTGGAAGTTGGAAGATTTAAAAGTTCCTAAGTTCGATTCATGGTGTGATTCATCGTTTCGACGTTGTTTGATGTGATTTGAGACCTCGAGCGAGTCCGTTTTAGCTTATATGACTTGTTGATATGCTTGGACGGGGTCACAAGGGCCCCGGGTGTGTTTCGGACGAGTTGTGGATAATTTTCCATGGTTTTGGGGAGGCTGAGTTATGGTGTAATCACACCTGCGGGCCCTGGGCGCAGGTGCGATTGTCGCAGATGCGAAGGAGGAAACGCAGGTGCGAGAGGAGTTGGTCTGGGCAGTCTCCGCAGATGTAAAGAATTGGAACGCACGTGTTGTGCCGCAGGAGCGGATCCCTGGGTGTAAAAGCGGAGTGGAGCGCAAGTGCGATTAGTCAAGCGTACTTGCGGTTACGCAGATGCGGTTAAGTTGGTCGCAGGTGCAGAAGTCCTGGCAGAATCATATAAGTCGAGGGTTTGGCCATTTCTTCATATTTTTTGAGTTTTAAACTTCGGATTTGGGAGCTTCTTTTGGGATTTTTCAAGCAAATCGATTGGGTAAGTGTTCTTCACCTAGAATCTAACATATTCCATGATTTTATCTTCATTTTTATCATTTAATTTGTGTTTTGGGTTGAGAAAAATGTTGGGTTTTTTTTAATTAATCCACTAGGCAGTGCCTAGGGCTAGTTTTTATTTATATATAAAAATAAGCAACACAGTGTCATAAGATCCTAAATACAAAAATATTGGTTTTTGAAGAAAGTTTTCAAATGAAAAATCATAATTTGAGGGACCAAATGGTATCGGAATTTGATAATTTTTGTATGGTTGAACTCATATTGGAATGAGTATTCAGATTTTGTAAAATTTGTTGGGTTCCGAGGTGCGGGCTCGGGGGTCAACTTTTGGACTGTTTTTTTTTTTTTGGATTTTGTTAAACATTGAGACTTTATGATCTGGAATAGATTCTTATGTATTTTATTTGTGCCTTGAAGTTAATTTGGTTAGATTTGAGCCGTCCGGAGGTCTTTTCACCCGAGAAGTGCATTTTAGAGTATCGGTTTGTCGTCTTTGAGGTAAGTATCTTGCCTAACCTGGTGTGGGGGACTTCCCCTTAGGATTCGAGTCTTCTATGTTGATTCTAGTTCGTGTGCGCGAGGTGATGAGTGCGTGCACGGAATTATTTGTGGAAAATTGGCCTTTTAGGTGTTTTAGGTCTTTATATTCACTGTGTAGGAATGTGTTCTTGACATGACTGAATTTCTATTTACTAGTTTTACCTCTACATGCTTAATTGGAATTAATTGCTTCATGATTCACTCTTATTGTCTAATCGACTCCTATTTTATTTAACTGAAGAATTTCGCTTCTCATATTGTCATGCTATCTTTTCATAGCTGCTTGTCTTAATTGAGAATTTATCATCACCTCCTCCTATAATTGTTTAGTCTTAAGTGAAGCTAAGATCATCTTTCCTTAATTGAATTGTCGGATATTCTCATATTTGTTCAACCTTAAAAAGGAGCTTAGATAATCCATATCTTTGTTGACTTGCCTTTAATTGGGACTACTTGACTCGTGTTGATTCCCTTGTTATTGACTTGTGTAATTGTGGGTCGTTGCTACATGTTAGTTTTCTCTTTGTGAATTGTTCCCTTTATGCCAGCATTCTTTTCTGTGTTTATTCCTTGTGAGTTGGTCCTACCATTTCATCCTGATTTACAATTCTTGAGTTGACTTACTTGTCGTACCTTGTATTATTGTCATTGTTGCTATTGTACGTGTTGTAGTGATATACGAGTTTTCAGTCGTGCTGTATTTGTATTCTCTTTGGTTGCACTGCATATTTACTTTGGGACTACGGAACTGTATTTCGGGAGATCCCCCTGCACATTTATGTTTGGGACTACGGGACGGTATCCCGGGAGATCCCCCTGTACTAGATATTTACTTTGTCACTACGGAACGGTATTCCAGGAGATCCCCCTGCACTTTTATGATTTGGACTACGAGACGGTATCCGGGAGATCCTCTGTACATTTACGTTTGGGACTACGGGACGGTATTCTAGGAGATCCCCTGTTATTATCACTGTGTTCTAAGCTGTTGTTTTCATTGATCCTATCCCTGTGTAAACAGTATATGCGTTGTGCGTTCTTGTCCTTATGCTTACTAGCTGGTATGAACTATGTGAGGACACTTGCACAAGCATACACGTGGCTAAGCACCCTTATCGGATATGAGGCTCCTTGAGATTGCTGAGTATAGACGCACGCCCTTGTTTATTTGCCTTCCATGTGAGAATGACTCTTTTGGCTACGTGTGTTTTCAGTATGATTATGAGGTGTGATGAGGGCACAGGATGCCAACTGTTAGGGTTCAGGTATTGAGACTCGTATTGTATGATTATGAGATGAGGTGTCACAGGGTGACTTATATTCGAAGGATATTTATTTGAAAGGGTTATATTCGAAAGGTATTCATTTTAGAGAACTATTTTGGAAAAATATTTACTTGAAGGAAGTATATTTCGAAATGTTTTTATCAACTGAAAGATTTGACTAATTGACTGAAGTTGTTGGCTATGACCTAATGTGAAAAACTCTCGTAGTTGCTGAGTTATGACTTGTCCTTACTGTGTTTGTGGTTTCGAATTTGGGTTGTATTTCCGTTCCTTTTTATGTGCTTTATTATGGTGTTCTGCTGTTACTTGCTGTTTTCTTTCCTTATTGTAGTTACTGTATTGTTGGCAATATCGCTTAGTCTTCATATAGATATCATGTTCGGTTGTTTCTATACCTATACTTGTTTTGCTTATTAGACCAGTGGGTGTCTTGACTGTTCCTCGTCACTACTCCACCGAAGTTAGTCTTGATACTTACTGGGCACCCTGTGGTGTGCTCATACTATACTTCTGCACATTTTTTTGTGCAGATCCAGGTATTGTTTGATAGTAGCTGTGCGGACTCTTGCCGAGGAGACTCAAGGTAGCACTGCTACTGCGTTCGCATGCTTCAAAGTCACCTTCCTATTTTATATTCACACTGTTGTACTTATTTCCATACGGTTGTGTTTAGAAGTTGTAGCGAAACTCTATAGAGCTTATGACTTGTACTACCGGGTTTTGGGAATTATAAATTTTGTAGAAATTTCTGCTTCGTGTCTGTTAAATTTCATTTATTATAGTTGTATTTCAGTATGAGTTAGGCTTACCTAATCCCTAAGACTAGGTGTCATCACGATACCCAAACGGAGGGAAAGTTGGATCGTGCCAATATCGATCCCTCTCTATTCTAATCTTTGGTTAATTTACCTTTCCGTCTTTATTTTATAACAAGTTTGTCATTTTAAAGTCGTTTTTGAATTAATGTGTCGTTTTTTAATATCACTCCTAAAAGGTTAGTGTACACTGTAAGTAAAATGCAACATAATGTTTGTCTCTTATTTAAAGTCAGAAATATTCATCAAAGTGAAGATGATGCATTTTGAATATAGAATTTAACTAAGAATTGGCACAAAAACTTTAGAAAACTCGAGCTGAACCATAAAATTTCAAAGTTCTACCGACGCTAAGATTAAGGTAATAAATTCTATTTCACTGGTTTCCACCAATTTCAGCTAGACCTTCCAAATCCAAGCAATTCATTTTTTTTCACCTTGATTGTCTAGTAGCAACAAGCGACGAAATACATTGAAAATATGAGTAGCCCCAATGACAAGAAAAAGCTTGGGAACTGCAGAACTGATCCATTACTAGGGGCTGAATCTGGGGAGTTATGAGGGCTCAACGGCGCTGGAGCCAGAATTGCCGGTGGAGATGCGGCCGGGGAGGTTGTAGGAGCCGCCGAATGAACGAGGATTTCCACATTTTGACCAGCCTTACAATGGCCTGGAACGCTGCAAATGAAATAGACGTGGCCTTCAACATCAAGAGAGAACCATTCCTTGCCAGTGCTTGGGGTACCAAAAGGGGATGAGGCATTGCATGCTTGGAAAACCTCCTTTGTCACTCGTACCACATTATCATATTTTGGATCGAATTCAAACACTGCATGCCCAAAAAAATATATGTATTACTGGTAAAAAGCAGTAATCATCAATATTACTGGTGAGATTTTGTGATTTGATACTCAAATTGAAGAAATCTTGACATAGTGATTATAAGACTAAGAACCTGTTTGGCCAAGCTTGTGAACAAAAAGTACTTTTTTGAAAATTTAAGGTGTATGGCCAAAATAAAAAAGTACTTCCGAACAACAGCAGAAGTAACTTTTTTGCTTTTGGGGAGAAACTACAAATTCTAGCTTCTTCCAAGAAGCAGAAGCAAAAGCACAAAATTAATTTGTTCAAGTCAAAGATAACCTTATAATAAATTTATGTTTCCAAATTACCCCTCATTAATTTAAAATTTCTTTTCCTTTTTCTTTTTATTTCTACTAACATTTCTTCTCTTTTTTATTTTAATCATATTTTTATTCTCTTTCTCATAATCCTACGAGTAGATTTTATATTTATATTGAATGATGTATTTGATATTTTTAAATTATCATGTAAATAATAAGTAATACCAAACACTCAATGTTATTGGTTGGAATAACTATATTCTATATAGAAATTTTTAACTTATATTTTTACTTTACATTTTACATTTTAATTGAATTCTTTTATAATAAATATTGTAATTTATTTTTCTTTTCTAAATAATACTAATCGCGACTTGAACCTTTATTATACTTTTTCGTATTTTGATACTTAAAAGTTTTTTTAAAAGATTGGGAGCTTGCAAAAAGCACTACTCAAATGAATTGGTCAAACACAAAATGCTGTTTTGCAAAAATACTTTTTACAGAAACACTTTTGAACAAAAAGAACTTTTCAATATGTAATTTTTGACAGCTTAGCCATACAGGATCTAAGGATCCGTTCTATAGTTTACCTTGAAATTTGAGTTGATGGTAAAATAACTCCTAATGGAGCTTTTTTTTTCCTCTGAACTCCTAATGGAGTTTTTCTTTTCCAACAACTCCTAATGGAGTTCCTACAGGAAAATATTCCCCCCTAGAATAATATTCAAGTTCAAATTTCTGAGGAATATCTCCTCCTATATGACAATTATTATACACATATGCTACTCAGATTTTACAAAAGTTTTACATTTGTGGGTTCGCATTTCAATACACCCACTAATTCTCTATAACAATTGCTACATACTTAAATAACTGCATATATTTAAAACATTTCATTTATAGATGTCCACTGCAAGCAATATACATCCGTCACTTCAAACTAGCTACATAATTATTTCAATTTTTATAGGCTATTTGGAACTAATTTACCAAGTACATCTTATCTCCCAAAAGCACACATACGATAACTCAGCCCGCCAAAACTTAGGCATATGAAAATTTTTACCAAATACATAATTATTATAGCAAAAATGTAGAGAGCATAAGGTAGGCCAATTTCTTTTTAAAAATTAAAAATAGAAAAGAATAATGGCTTACGAAGAACATCTCCAACTTGAAAATGCTTAGATGCTGACCATCTCTTATAATCCACTTGCCCAGTGCTTGTCCAACCAGCAGAATCACCAACCTCATATATGTTTGCTTTTACTAAACCAAAAAACATGAACATCATTAACAAGAAAGAAACCACCACTTTCTTCGTCATTTTCAGATCAATCTTCACACATGAAAAACATTAATTTTTATTTATATAGAGAACAAATGTGGGTAACTTTTGGTCTAAAAGGAGCAGAAGAAAGAGGCCAACAACAACTTCCTTGAAAAAGAGGCGTTTCGGTAAATTCGCATTCATATAAATCGAATTCCTAGTCAAAGGAAAGGAAATACTTTAATTGAATTAACAACTTTGCCTTCTTCGGTACAAAACTTTCCTTTCTAGATTATCAGTTTGATATATATGACAAAATTCTCGGCGTAAAGAAAGTGTAATCAAGAGGACTTTTTGCTTATTTTTCCTCTTTGAATGAAAAGATAATTTTGCAAATATGGTAAATTTGTTATATTCCTACTAAAATATATATATCTTAATGTGGAAAATAGTATCATGCACTAAAAACAGCTCAATCTTTGCACAGATTCTTTGAACCCGATTATATCTGCATTTTTAAGAGAAATATAAATGAAAATCTATTCTTATGGCGTAAGAATCTGGAACCGCAATCATATAGGCACTAAACATACAACTACTTTTCATTTATGGGATAAAAGACCAACAAAAACATTGTCCGTCTCGTTTGAGCTTTACTCCTAAAAAGAATAAGCGGTTGATGTAAATATATGTAACGATCCGACCGGTCGTTTTAAGCTTTAGCGTTTCATTCGGTGGCTTAAGATTTTGAGTATCTTCATATCATGCATTATGACTTGCGTGTATGGTTGGTTTCGTTTTTCAAGCGGTTCGAGATTGATCTGGAAAAATGATTCCCGTTTTAGAAGCTTTAAGTTGGAAGAATTGACCAAAATTTGACTTTTGGTAAACGGACTCGGAATCGGGTTTTAATTATTCCAATAAGTTTGTATAATTTTGGACATATCCACAAAGTTTGGTTAAATTCCGATGAGTTTTTTGGATAAGTTTGGGTTGTATGGTGATTATTTTCGGTTTCAGCATCGATTTGAGCATAAATATTACCATATTGAGCAAACAACCTTTGATTCGTGTTTCGACTAAACCATTATATCCGTATCGTAATTTTGAAATTATAGCAACTGAAATCATCAACTTTCGACATCGTAGGAGCAATTTATAGTCAATTTAATAAGAATTGGGTTGCTAGATTTTTTATATTAATTACGAAATTGCCACCGAATTCGTATTTAAAAATCTGCATTATTTTCAAATATTGAAACCATCATATCTCCTTTATTATAAGGTCAAATGGAGTGAATCAAAAGCCTAACTTTATTGAAATTTCATGAAAATACATTGGAGGGATCAAAAGCAAGTTTCGGGATTGTTTGACATAAGAAACGAGGCAGAACAGCTGGCGTTTTTCGCTATTAATGTTGTTGGAGTTTATCTCATCTTGAAAGTTTGGGATTGGGAGAATTCAAGGATGTTCTTCAAGTTTCTTCCATGAGTTAAATATTTTCTATTCGATTTTGATTATATTTCGTGATTCCATATTCGTTTTTAGCATTTGATTGATGATTTCAAAAGAGAAATTGGGGATTTTTGTCTAAACTTTCCTAAAGTGATTTTTTTCAGTTTTGAACACCGATTCGGAGTAGGAATTGAGTGAAATTATTATGGTTGGACTTGTAATTGAATGAGTTGTCGAATTTTATGAGTTTTGTCGGGTTCTGAGGTGCGGCTCGGGTTTGACTTTTTGGTTGACTTTGGGTTAATATGTAAAGATTCGACCTTTATCGATTGGGTTTGCTTCCTATGGCATTATTTGATGATTTGAGTTGCTTTTGGCTAGTTTCGAGCCGTTCGAAGGATGATTTGAGTAGGATGGCGCTTCTTGTATATCAATTGGGCTTGTTTGAGGTAAGTATCTTGCGTAACTTTGTGTGGGAGAAACTACCCCTTAGGATTTGGGTTGATTGGGCTATTTGTGTTATGTAAAGACCGTGTACGCAAGGTGAGTGGGCACACAATCTATATGTGGTCTTTGATCGGTTTACATTATCTTGACTCTTTCCATGCCTTTAATTGAATTGTCATAACATGTTATATCTCTCATTGTTAATCTACTCTTACATGCTCTATTCGACGTTGTTAGCAATTGTTCAACCTCTTACTTGGTATTTTGCTCTTATATGCTTTAGTTGAAGTTATTGCCTTCCTTATTGTCTCTTTACCTCTTAATTTTTAAATCACATTTAATTGAAGTTGTTATTTCGTGGAATATCATCTTGTTGAATTATTGGTGTTGAAGCTGTAATAGTCATTATCACATTGAGGTGAAGTTGTTAATTGTTGAGATACCTTTTCTTGTTGAACATTCTCATTCATATTGTTATTGTTGAAATTCTGGTACACATTGTGGTTGCGCCATGGGCTATTTGTTGTGGAAATATTGGTGTTGTTGATACCAAGAAAGGCGATTAGGTATATTCCTATCCTAATCACAAATCCGTTCCCGATGCTCGAGTTCAAGATCTCGCTCTACTCAATCTTATATGCAATCTAGAATTCCCTCTCCCGAGTTCAATCCTAGATTCGTAGATAGTATTCAATTGGTGATCAAGCAATGTGTTAGTATTCAATTGGTGAAGTACTTCTCGTGGGCTGACCGTATATGAGAAATGTGTTAGTCATTTGAGTAGTGTAGTTGTGATCGGATATGGAGATTCTAGTATTCTATGGATTTGAAGACTAAAAGAGTTCTTGAAGTAGATTGCTCCATGATTGTGAATGATGAAGGTACGTTAAGAGGTTGGAAACTGATGGTATGTACTATAGATATGCTATTGTGGGCTTTTCGGAGGCTATCTACCTACTTCGGGAGGATCGAAATTGATTTAGAGGCTAATAGTAGGTCTAATAATGATGTGTGTTCTAAATCGGGTCAAATTTATCTAGTCAACACAGTTATTGCGGAGGGGTATGTTATCAGTTAGGGTGGATCACATTCGTGTTATGATATGTTTCATGTGTTACTTTCCTATGCTGCGATGGATTTTGATATGTTGGTTATCTACACCATTGCAGTTGTTGATACCCAATTTTTCCCTCATATATTTTTAAACATGCATACATACTTTCAAAATATTGTACATGCATTTACAAACATGCACAAGTATTTCTACAATTTTTTCTATAATTTTTAAAGGCCTTAAATTAATTTATTTTTGCATTTTAGTTATGTAAATATTCAATAATTATCCCTCATATTACTTTACAATGATTTAGTCATCTAAATTCGTCATTTATACTCATATAAGTGTTCAAATATTTTTAATTGCATATTCTACAATTAGAGTTGCATTTTAAGACTATAATTGCATATTTTGTAGTAATAGCCCATCCATATGCATAATTACATTACCTATACAGAAAATAACTTTATATTTTTTTTATAATATTACGTAATTATTTTAAATCACCTTCATGCATAAAAATTATTTTTTATCATTTAATTAGCTATTGTTAAAATTATTTTTATTAATAAATTGGGTATTTAATAAATAGCCCCTTAATTGTATCCAAAATCGGACCCTCCCAGCCCAATTTAAATTAACCTAAGCCCAAATCACCCCAGCCCAAAACTAAACGACCTCTACCTGACCCAAATCCCTTCTAATTGTGGCCATTGATCTCTGAGATCAACGGTCCACGATCACCCTTTCCTTTTTAAACCCAAACGACCCCCTAACCCTAGTCATTTGTTACACCCTGCCGCCCTTGAATCCCTCATCTTCTCTCTTCTCTCTGAGACCACCTAAACCCTAGATGCGCCGTCACCCCTAAACCTCCCAAATCCCTTCGATCTCTGACCTAATATGGGGTTATTTGGGGTTTTGCTACCATATCTAACCTACTACCTCTACTGGTTGTTCGATTCTTGATGTTTTCTTAGGGAATCTAGAAAAGATTCGACTCAGAGTCGACCTAGGCCTTTTGTTTTCTTATGAATCCGCCTTGTGTTCATCAATTTTCGTGAGTACCATTCATTTTGTGGTTGTGGTTAGATTTTCCTTTACCCCTTCCCCTTTCTCAAAAAACCCTCATCTTTTCTACTTGAATCTGTTCATATCCTTGTAGATCTGGAGTGATTGGAGTTTATCCAGTAGTTTTATTTAAAAAATTTCTTGTTCTCTTTATCGTCAATCGATTTTAACATCCCTCTAGATTAGGGTTTCACTTCCTTTGTGTTTGCTGTTCAGATCTCTGTAGATTTGAAACGATTTCGAGTTTCTGTAGCATTTTTCTTTAAAGATCTTATGTTTTCCTTACTGTTAATCGGTCCTAATGCTTTCTAAGAATTAGGGTTTCACTTCCCTATTTCTGCAAAACTTTTCTAAAGATTCTTATGTGTTTGATTATCTTTTTTCTACTGATTCTTTCCTGACTGAGTTCCGGTTTTAGTTTGATTGCTTATTTCATTACTCGCCTCAATATTTGCCCGTGATTCTTGAGTAATTGATTGATTACCTAAACTGTTTAGGGTTCGAAATTTGCTTTTTTTATTGGGGTGATTACTTCTTGTAACTTTATTTACATTCCTTATTTTTGGGACTCCTAATTGGTACTACTTATCTTAATTGTTCCTGCTAAGCTTAATTTGTGGGTTGATTGATTTACCAACTCCAGATTGGTTATTAATTTATTTGTGTTACCTTATTTGTGTGACTAATTGCTTGTTAGTTGCCGGATTTTAGTGTTCTGGCTTTAACTGGCTAACAGACTTACCACTTACCTTATTTAGACCTCAATTCCGAGTTATTTTGGATACAATCCCATGATTTTTGCCTATTGATTGGCCCTGTCATGCCTAATTGATTAACTACTTGTTTTCTTTGCCTTATTTGCAAACTTTTAAAATGCTTTACCTTATTTACTCTACTCTGCTCAATGCTATATAAGTCTCACTCTTCTTTCTTTAACACACACGGACACAGACATAGAAAGACACACAAAGTTCTTGCTCTCTTCCTCTATCACAATCTTCTACTCTTTGTTTGTTGCACTGTCTAGCCGGCTGGAAGCCAAGGCTAGAACTTTGGAACATGTTTGCTTCACTCTTTATTGCTATCTCTTAACTGGTATGCCTCCGCTACATCTATTCAAT